ACTACATATACAATTTCACATAAAGAAATGGGGTGAAAATTTCACCTATGAAAAAAATCACATAGTAAGGGTTGACTTCAATAAGCCTTAAAACAACTGTCTGTTTTTTGTAGGGATAACCCGTATCACAACACAAAACTGTCTTTTTATAAACCAGCTTATCTTTATTTTAATAGTAACTTGTGAGAGGAGTGTCTTTAATTTTCACTCTTCGTTCATCGTTATTACAGTTCAAAGTGGCAAAAATCACTTAATTTGTAGTTTATAATGGAGAGATTTAGATATTTTCTCAATGAAGTTATTTAAAAAACGCCATTGTGACTTCATCAGAGCTAGTAATATAAGAACTGTTCTTGTATTATTAGCCCTGATGAAGCCAAAATGGTAAAACGTTGGCTGAAATAAAAAGTTTATTACTATCTGGAAAGTAAAGATTGATTTTGAACAATTTTACTACCAAAACAATTATACTCTCAACTGATACGATGCCAACTGCAAGACTAATTCGTTAACCTTGACGTTAAGTGTTCCTATACCATATGCTAGCCGTTTTAGCAGCTACTCCTAAATTTGTACACAAGGAAAGAACATTTTAGTAATTTCCGTTCTTTCAAGGCCAAAATTCCAAAATTAAAGCACTCTTTCCTTGTGTGCAAGGCTTGGTGTGACCTAGTGGATAGTGTGTTGGATTGTGAAGTCATTCAACACATCACGAACTTTTGGCTGTGGGGTGTTGAAAAAGTGACAGCCAATCACCTTATTCGGCTCAAAGAGCCTTATAGCCAAAGATGCTGCTGGCTACCTTCCCTCTACTCAATAGTTGAAAACTAGGGGTGACTATAACTGAATCCCATGTGTCGAAAATTCCAGTTCCTTGTGTATACATTCGCATGCAGTTGTTGTAAACAGTTTTAGATCAAGTATGTGATCTGTCCACTAGGAGTATGGAGGTTTTAAAAGCAAAGATAATGAATCAATCCTGCACTTGGGGGCGTATCAGTTGGGTGTGCAATTGTGTTCCTTCATCTATAAACAAACAACCTACTTTTAAACTAAAGTTTAGAAATGGATCAGACTTAGCTGATGCATTTGCCTCACTGACAACTATTCATACCTGAAAAAGGAAGGCCTGCCTTTCGAAAGCGCTCAGGTTGCAAAGTTTCTTGTATCAGTTGGTTATAAAATACATTTTTTAGTAAATGCAAAAAGGGTGGTCCTGAAACGCGCATTTTTCAGCCACGCGCGATGTTTATTTCAATATACAACAAACAAGTTGAAAACAAAAATTTTGTCGAGTTTTGAAAAACAACAACAAACATTAAAAGCAATGGGATATTACTTATTTAAATAAAGACTTGCACCAGCAGCGTGATACCTATTCAACGGTATAAGTTATAACTGAGATAATCAACGCATATATACTACAGCGACGCCACATATACGGAATTTTCAACTTAACTGTTCTTAAAACGTCGAAGAATTGTAAATATTTTAATCTGTATTTTAAATAAGGCTTTATAAGGATTATACTGCATGTCACAATGTAGAAGTTCTTTTCTTCCTTCTACAGTTCTAACGCTGCATGCTTTAACGTTTAAGATCAAACAAGGAGATAAGCCATCTTCTTGGTTAACGTATTACAACAGAAAATTATAGCTCAAACTAACGCTCGTAAAGTCCTAACGTGTTCTACCGTTGGGTGAGTTTTTTTTTTGGATTATTTGGTGAAAATAATGCGAGATCCAGTTCACTCCAAGTGAAAATAACAAATTAGTTTATTTATTCTTTGACGTTTGCTACAGTCACTTTTATCTGTAGCTCTAACTTCAAATACAAAAAACTTTCAACAAATACTACTGTAACTATTGTAGGCCTAACACACTAATAATGTTTAACGGAAATGTCCTTGATTAATGGTAAGTACGCCTAGTTCGCAAACAAAGTTACTTACAGTTTATAGAATTTCTTCGCTAATTGCTCCAGTAATTGAATAGACGCGCTAAATCTAACCATGAACAATTTTTCCAACACATGACTCATACATTCATTGTATACACAATAATCACTCATTTACTGATTATTCGTATTTACACTGTACTCTTATCTCTTCGCCCTCCAGCGGTATGTCTGCAGACTTAGAACGCTAGAAACCGGGTTTTGATACCTGTGGTGGGCAGAGCACAGACAGCCCATTGTGTAGCTTTGTGCTTAATTACAAACAAACGAACTCGTTTCTCCAAATTCCACGAGGTGTCTAGGTTATTACATCATCATGAACTTTTTCGATATTCTAGGACTAATTTTATTCACTTTCTACATCTGGCGTCATCATCATGATTAGCAGCTCTCTCTAGTAAACAATTAAATTATAACATTAAAAGTAAGTACGAATACTGTTCAAAGCAATTAAACATGTTAAGCTAAACTATTTTCGAGTCTTGTTATTACTAATTAAATGTTGTTAAACTAAATCCATGTATTATTAAAATTAATTAAATCTGTTGAAATAAATTCGAATATTGCTAAAACAAATTTAATACTATTAAATAAAATTAAAACTGATTATTGTTCAAAGTAATTAAATAGCGTTAAGCTAACACTATACCTAATATTTTTGGAGCAATTAAATATTTTAAAACTAAGCTAAGCCCAGTATTATTATAACTAATTCAATATTGCTAGGCTAAACTAAATCTGGATATCCTTAACACCCAGCCTGCTAGTTAATAATAACGAATTCGGGGCTACAGAGGGGTGTTACAGTTTCCGGTATTCAAGTTAGAACCAAAAAGTACTCCAATAAAGGGGCTCTATCTGTTAATAAAAAATCACGCTTTACTGCCCCCCAAAAATTCATCTTTCATTAATGATCGACTACGAAGATGCGGAGTTTTAGGGAGTTGGCCGGACTGTGTTATTCTTGTACAAACTAGTAGAAGTGTTCATGTTCAGGCAGGCACTGCACTTAATTACATTACGATGGCAAGTAAGCTTCGTTAAGCCTTCCTTCTAATCACATTAGTCACAGTTAAAAATGACCCATTCTAGAAATAAGAACACTAGATCATTCACTAATTCTAATCACACTAGTCACAGTTAAAAATTGACCTATTCTAGAAATAAGAACACTAGATCATTCACTAATTCTAATCACACTAGTTACAGTTAAAAATTGACCCATTCTAGAAATAAGAACACTAGATCATTCACTAATTCTAACCACACTAGTCACAGTTAAAAATGACCCATTCTAGAAATAAGAACACTAGATCATTCACTAATTCTAATCATATTAGTTACAGTTAAAAATTGACCTATTCTAGAAATAAGAACACTAGATCATTCACTAATTCTAACCACACTAGTCACAGTTAAAAATTGACCCATTCTAGAAATAAGAACACTAGATCATTCACTAATTCTAACCACACTAGTCACAGTTAAAAATTGACCCATTCTAGAAATAAGAACACTAGATCATTCACTAATTCTAACCACACTAGTCACAGTTAAAAATGACCCATTCTAGAAATAAGAACACTAGATCATTCATTAATTCTAACCACATTAGTCACAGTTAAAAATTGACCTTATCTAGAAATAAGAACACTTTATAAAGAATAACCCCAAAAGATCGAAGGAAATTCAAAGAGAAATATTCATACGACATTTTTTTAATGATTATTAAAGAGATTACTAGGTAAGATGCTTATAAACTCAAGCAAAGCGCGAGACACGTCACGTAGCAATCTGAGAATACTGTAAATTAGTGAATGTGTATTTTAACAAAAAAATATACCTTATTATATGTTAACCACACTACATCTACCATATCTAATGCCAACGAAGGTTTTCGCGTATTACCACGACTCATCAGGCCAGCTGAGGTATACGACAGTCATATTGGTGGTATAGATGGTGTATATAGATATCATCAGTTTTCATGTACAACAATTGGTTTATGGTGTGAACCAGATTAAGCAAGTGAATTGTAATTATTAAGTTCCAAATCAGAATTTTAGGGTAACAATTAATAACATAACATTCTTTATTTTATGTTATTTGTAGGTTGTTGTTGTTGTTTTTTTTAATGTTAATAGAGAGGCAAATACATCTTGGCGCTTTGTAATACGATTTTCCAGAAGACTCCAAAAACATGTCTCCTTGTGTTAGGTACGTATTTGTATTAGTAACACATTTTGTTTTTCCACAACAACATAATAACTGCCTGAAGAAGTTTGAAGAGATGATGAATGTTGTTGGTTTTGACAGCAAACATATTTCTAGAACACAACACTTGCAGGTAATAGGTTCAGTGTCGTCTTTTACTATAGAAATAAAAATTATAGACAATACCGAGTACACACACGACCTGGCACGATCTTCAACTATCTGAAACATTACCACGAATAGGTTGATAGATCTTTTCTCACAAGAGGATAATTCTTAAAGTCCTTCGGGGCAACGACTGCTGACTAAGTCATTGACAAGGAAAAACACAAAAAACAATCTAAATGCTGCAGTTTGTCTAGCTATCATGAAAACGTCGGGCGCACTCACCAAACGAGTCAGCAGCGCTATCTATTAAGTTGAGATCATTGTGTTCATTGACCACATAGAACACGATCCAGTTTAGGTTTCAGTTTCACTTCATATGACAACTCAAGCTTCATATAAACACGTCAGTAAGAAGCTGGTGACAGTGTCAAGTGGTGAGAAAGGCCACACATACAAATCAAAAATACATTTTTGTTTAAAATAAAATCATAAAAAATAGAGGAGACTGTTAACTTAATAAAATAACCAGAAATCTAGAATACGTCAAACTTTATTAGAATTTGTCTGACATTTCACCATAACGTGAATTTTAGGAGGACTCTACATGTACACCTATGTTGTATTTTTGACTGTATACTAAATGATTATTTTTTAGTTTGACCCCCTTTATGTGTAAAATAATTCACTATTTATATTTTCTAGGTAGAGTGGTATTTCTCCCTCCGCTACGAACAGTACGAGTTTACAATGGAGCGCCACCTGGTGTGTATGTGACAACTCTCCGTGCATACGACCTGATGTTCCCACGAAAACGGGTTACATTTAACTTACTAGCTGTTCGAGATTACTTATTTTTCCAGTTGAACCCGATTTCTGGAAATCTTACAACAGCCAGAAACATCGACAGAAGAGTGGGGCAGATATACTTTGTAAGGTTTTTGTATTTATAAAGTTACATCGCTTACTGAGATTAACTTATTGTGATGTGGCCTAATAACATTATGTCTTTCATTCTTATAGAGGGCTATTTTATGAAAAATAGTATTAAATTGTTCATTATAATGAGGTATTTTATAAACATGATTTTCATTATTAATAGAAAAGTGTTAGTTTAAAAATATTATTGTTTTTTATTATTATTTTAAGGGATTCCTTTATGAGTATAATTACTTCATTATTATAAGATATATCACCATGCTGTTTATTATTATTTTTTAATTTAGTGGAACATAGTCATTGTAAAATATGTATTGTTACAACAGTGGAAGTCACGCGACGCT